TATTTGAGTTCGGTTGGTTACACATGACCACATTTTTTTTAAATAAAAATAATTATATTAATGGATATAATAAAAGCTTACCATTAACATTATATAGTTATTATTAATATAACTAATAAATACATTTATTAAAATTTAAAAATTATTATTATTATTATTATTATTATTATTATTAGAGCATATCTTACAGTCAACTTCATCGTTATTTAATTACATCTTCAATTTTTATTATAACAATATTTATTATCTTTACAATTAAATACACTTAATATGCAATTTATTACTTTTGTAAAGAATTAGTTACCTCTAAAAAAAAATTATAAAAAATACTATTATTTAATTAATTATATCCAAATTTCGATACTAAAAATTTTAAAAATTTAAATTATCAATAATTATTTATACAAATACAATTTAAATTTATTTTAAAATATTATGTTCACCTATATATTTTTTAAATATATCTTTTATATATTCAATTTCAACATTTATTATTATTTTTTCTAAATTTTCATATTAATCTTTTTTCAACTAGCTTTTTAATAAAATTGTTGGAAATAATTTTTTTTATTTGGACAATGTATTAGTCCAAGTTCATTTTAATCATTTAGGTTTTTAAATTTATAAATTTCACAAATTCAAATAATTTTAGTATTTGAAAATAAAATAATAAAAATTATATAATATTACTACTATTACGAGAGAAAATTGAGAGAATCAAGAAGAAGACAAACAAGGACACAAGAATATAACAATTTGGTTATCTAGTTCGATCAAAATGATCTACGTTTGGGGCACAGCAAAACCAAAAATTTTACTATGGAATACGCAAACATATGTTAAAATGAGAATACATGGATATTTATAGCCTAAGTTTATGGCAATAATATTCAAATCATATAACTAAATATACGATATAATATCTAAATCACATCCCTTATATTTTAAGATGTAATCCGTCTTCGTATTCCAACAATCTTTCACTTGAAGACTGATTGCATTTTTCACTTCAATACTTTACTTCATCAGTAGTGACAGCGCCAAGCCACTTTCTCCACTCATCGAGGCCCATTGAGGTTGAATACAACCTCAATTCATCCAAGATCACCACCTTATGTTATCCTCTAGGATTGGTCATAAACCGGCTTACTGCTCCCACTGCACGTGTTTTCCACCTCATAAAGGTATTAAAAACATCATATTTACGTTTAATAAAATATACCAATACCTTATTTGTAGCGTCGTCAATGAACGCAGTGTAGTACTGTGAGCCTCCAAAGATCGATACAGAAGCTGGTTTCCATAAGTCCGTATAGACCAACTCTAACTTTTTCTTTTTCAGGTCTCTCCCATCATCTGAGAACATCACCTTTCATTGCTTCCTAAAGATACAATCATCGAGTACTCCAATATCGACAAAATTACGACATGACAATCTTCTCTTTAAAACAAGCCCCCCTATCCTCTTCTCGCTCATGTGTCCGATATGAGAATGTCATGCATTTGTGTCATTATTTATGACCACAGAACCGATTGCGTCTCGCATGCCTTTCGTAATGTAGAGAGTTCCATATTTTCTCTCTCAAGCCACCACATTGGATCTATTGATTACCTTTCACGACTTAGTTTAGAAAACTGTCGAGTAACCTGCATCATCCAATTATCTCATGGAAATCAGATTCCGTTTCAGACCATTCGGTGTTTTGATTCGAACCATCCTTTTACCTACAATTTTCAGTGGCTTGTCATCTGCAAGATAGACAAGACCAAAACTACATGAGTTATAGGATTCCATGATTCCCATATCACTGCATGAGTAATGACGCTCTTGAGTCCAAGATTCATGACTCCGTTGGACCGCGGACCTCAGAATCAGCATATTGGATATCTCATCTGTTGCATTTGTCGAAACCCTTATCCTTCCCTACCTACCTTGCACCATTTATCAAAAAGGAACCCACTGCCTGATCTACAACAATTGTTGGGACCGACCCAACACTGCTATGAGACTTTCGACACAAGACACCTCCGCAGGTCACGAGGGATTCCCACAACCACAACCAATGCCCGATGCTGTAGAGAGTTCCATCTCTTTTCCTTTGAGCCACCACAATGGATTCCTTGGTTACCTTCCACGACCTAGTTTAAAAAATTGTCGAGTAACCTGCCTCATCCAATCGTCCTATGGAAATCAAATTCCGTTTCAGATTTGGACAAGCCTCACATCATTCAGTCTTCACTCCCTATCATTCGGTATTCTGATTCGAACCATCCATTTACCTAGAATTTTCAGTGTCTCATCATTTGCAAGATAGACAATACCAAAATTACCTGCGGTATAAGATTTCATGATTCCCGAATCACTAGTTGAGTGGAATGACGCTCCTAAGACCAAGATCCATGACTCAATTGGACCGCTGACGTTCAGAATCAGCTCATTGGATATCTCATCCGCTGCGTTTGCCGAATTCTAATCTTTCTCCGAAGCCTAGCACTGTTGTTTCAAGTGCCTCGTGCAGTTCCAACATATCACCTGACTTGCATCTTTCTTGTCCTTGTTTTTCGACTTCGACTTTGACCATTCTTGATTTTGACCATTTCCTTTCGCCTTAGATCTACCCTTATTTTTGGCACTAAGGGCAGATCCAGATCCAAATTCAGTCGAGACATTCTCCGGAAAGGTTAGTCGAACCACACTCATCGTCTTCTTGTCGATCTTTTTGTATTCGGCGTCATCCATGTTTTCGGGTTTCTCCTTGAACACCGCCTTTAGATATTTACCATACATGTAATTTTCTATCTGCATCTTCTATAAATCGAATATTGACAGCACGACGATCACCCATCTTAACTCCCACAAATGAATCTAAGACTCTTATGCCACTTGTTACGGAAATTTCAGAAAATCAATAAGAGACAAACAAGGACACAAGAACACAATAATTTGGTTACCCAATTCGATTAGAATGATCTACGTCTTGGGGCGTTGTCAAACCATAAATTTTATTATAGAATATGCAAATATATACTAAAGTGAGAATACATGTCTATACCAATAATATTTAAATTATATCTAAATTATATCCAAATTATATCCCTAAATTTTAAGATATAATCATAATTTATATCCCAACAATTACATTTTTATATAAATTAATAAATTAAAATATAATATTATGTAATACATGGAGTATTATTTATATATTACTCCCTCCGTCCCGCATACCATGTCTACGTTGTCGTTTCTGTCCGTTCCACATATCATGTCACTTTCCTTTTTTGGAAAATGATTACACACTTTAATCTCATTTAAACTTTTTAATTTTAATTAAACTAATTAGTTATCTTAATCTTAATTTATAATTATTTATATTATCCGATAATTATTTTCACTAATACATTCTTAATTATCTACTAATTACACCCCTCCTAAAATACCGTGTCTACAGTGTAACAGACACGGTATGTGTGGGATGGAGGGAGTATTAGACAATAAAATATATAGAAACAGATAATTATTATGAACTTATAAAATTATAAAGGTAACTAAGTGGAGGTAACGATTCTATAACGAATATTAAAAGAAAATAATTTGAATGTTTATGTGGATATAATGTTGACATAAGAGATAAAAAAAAGTAATATAATAGAAACACTCACCGTAGCCGATGTTTTTATTATATATAAAAGATGTGGATCCCATTATTTCGATTTTTTTGCATTTTTTCATATTTTAAAAATTAACTTAATATTTTTTAATTCTCATTTAAATACATCATTAATGATGATATAATACTAGTTAATGAAACTAAAAATGAATTATTACAATTTCTAAATTTTATAAGTATTTTTAAAAATTCTACCTCTTTTATAAAATCAATTTATATTAATTACAAATAAATAATTATAAAAAAATCGTTCTCTATAAAATGATATTCATATTGTATAGATTTTTTATTGCAATAAGTTTTAAAATATTTAAATATTTATTTTAATTTTTTAAATTATTTATATTAATTTATTTTAAAATTATCAATATTATTAATTATATAAAAAATAATAAAATAATATAACAATTCACTATTATTAATTAATTAAATATTATTATATATTAATAAGATGTTCTTAATAAAAATATGTCAACTATGTTGGGACGAAATGAGTATATTATATTCTCTCGGTCATTTAAATATATTCAAATATTTGAGTACAAATTTTAATAAAAGAATAATAATTGTTAATATTTTTTATCTCTATAGCAAAAAAAAAATACAACAAAAATAATGTATCCTTTTATTAAAAAAAAAAAAAAATACTCCCTCCGTCCCATAACAAAGTATTCATTTTTTCATTTTAGTCCGTCCCATAACAAAGTATCAATTTTTTTTTTTTAGTAAATTTAGTATCTACTTAACATTACAAATACCCTTACAAATTATAATATATTACACAAATGCCATTACACACATACCAGTAAGATTATTTTAGTCATTTCTACTTTATTTCTACCATATCCCAATATAATACTAATATTTTTAAAACTATATGTAAAAAGTAAATGGATAATTACTTTGGGACGGAGAAGTACTTTCGTATGAAAAAATACAAATTTATTATTATTATTTTTTTGTTTAGAAAAAATAAGTTTGTTTGTTTAAGTAGGAATTATAGCGTTAAGATTTTGTTTTTATATTTTGTTTTTTAGTAGTAAAATAAGTACCAAAAGAAATTGTCAGATCTTTTATAATTGACAAAAAAGGGAAAACGAATACTTTTAGACGAGGGATGGATCCGATTATTAAATGTATTTAGGTAAAACCTATTTAATTATTTTTAATACTTTCAGATTATGAAATAAAATTGATTCACGCGCCACGCGCTATATATATATATATCATACTGTGCGTACGTTCAGAGAGAGTGTTCTGAAGAATACGTACGGACCCATGAAGAGTTGAAGGATGAAGAGTTGAAGGATTGCAGCTAGAAATCGAATCGGAATGGCTAGTACATTGACCGGCGACGATCTGGCGAGGCTAAACGCCGGCAGGAAAAGTTTGGCGAAGTCATCGGGGCGGCGGAGCTTCGCGGAGGTGTTGCAGCGGCAGTCGGATGTGTTCTACAGTTTCCGAGCTAGTGTAGATGGGGAGGAGGAGGAGGAGGAGCTGCGTTCGGCGGCGATCGAGCGTCTTCCGACCTACGATAGGAATGGCGAGAGCACAATCGCCAAGGCGCTCGACGACGGCATGGTTAAAGCCAGTGAGATCGACGTTAAGAAGCTTTGCGGCAAAGATAGGAAGGAGCTGCTGGAGAAGGTATTCAAACTAGTCGATGAGGACAATGAGAAGTTTCTTCAGAGGATAAAAAGCCGCGCGTATAGGTACGGTGATGGATGAATCGAACGATTTTGCGACGCACAGTTGTGAATCTACTGTGTGATTGAGCAGCTTATTTGATTGTTCTCGTGTTGTCATTTCTGCAGGGTTGGGATCGAGATCCCCAAAATCGAAGTACGATACGAGAAGCTATCGGTTGAAGGATATGTGCACGTCGGGAGCAGAGCACTTCCCACTCTGCTCAATGCTACAATAAATGCAATTGAGGTATCTCCCGCCATTTTCTATCTAAGGGAAATTTTTTATGAAATGTTTTGGTACTTGATTACGGCAAATGCGATTATCTTCATAAGAAACCCTAATATTTGTGGCAATGAAATCTGTGATTGTTTAACTATAAGGAAAACATAGAGCAGAATTAACATTTTATCTTCAAGATGTTGAATTGTAATCCATCCCTTTGAATGGTAATCAATGGCACTGGCAGGGTTTTCTTGAAGCAATTAGGATAGTTCCTTCTAAGAAACGAAAGATCACGATACTTAACAAGCTCAGTGGCATTGTCAAACCATCGAGGTTTGTGTTTTTTCAGATTTGAGGAATCATCTTATGTTATTTAAAGTTAATTCATTCGTGATTCTTGTTTTTCTACTGAATGTAAATCATTTTAGTGCACTTGTTGTATGTCAGGTTAACCCTACTGTTGGGTCCACCTGGTGGAGGGAAATCTTCATTTCTCCTTGCACTTGCAGGGAAGCTTGATGGTAGTTTAAAAGTATGCTTTCTTTGTTATGTCTTGAATTATGCAGCATTGTGGTTTCGGATTTTCTGCTGTTAACAATAAGTTTATTGTACAGAAATCTGGAAAGATCATGTATTGTGGGCATGAATTTAGCGAGTTTGTTCCTCAAAGGACGGGTGCTTATATAAGTCAGCATGATCTTCATTATGGAGAGATGACGGTGAGGGAGACACTTGGTTTCTCGGGCAGGTGTTTGGGTGTTGGGTCACGATATGATATGTTGAAAGAACTCTCAAGGCGGGAGGCAGTGGCTGGAATCTTACCTGATGCTGAGCTTGATGCATTTATGAAATCAGCATCAATCTCAGGACAGGAAACCAGTTTGGTCACGGATTATATTCTCAAGGTTGCAATTTTTTCATCATGTACTGTTTCATTGGATCTTGCCCTTCAGTTAAGTGACTAACTGTTTCTAGTCCTTATTACAGATACTTGGTTTAGATATATGTGCAGATACTATGGTTGGTGACGATATGAGAAGAGGGATTTCAGGAGGACAAAAGAAAAGAGTAACTACTGGTATGATTTGATCACCACAGAGTAACTTTATAACCTAAAATTAATCAGTTCAAAATGTTTTAGTTTTGCTTGTGTTAATCCTATTTGATTTTCATCATATGAAATCTGCTTCATTTGCTTAAATTCGTTGTTCAAAGTGATTTATCATTACACTTTTTAGGCAAGTAATTCCATTTTTGGAGTTTTCGTGGTAATTACAATATTGAGTGCTTTTGGTTACCAATTGAATTCTTGAGTTGAGTTGAAAGTTGGGTTGGAGTTGATTTATTTAATTAATATTTGGTATATGATGTAATATGTATAATATTAAAAAAAATTAAAATGTGCATTTAATTATTTTAATAATTATATATTAATAAAATATATACAATATAGATATCATTTTATAAAGAATAAAATTTTATCTAATACAAATAAATATAAAATATAAATATCTATTTATAATTAATATAAATTATTTTTACTAATAAATATTGAGTTTTGAATGTATATTAATATAAATATTTATTTATAATTTATATAAATTATTTTACTAATAAATATTGAGTTTTGAATGTATATTAATATAAATATTTATTTATAATTAATATAAATTAATTTTACTAATAAATAAGACGTTTTGAATGCATATAAATATATTTATTTATTAAAAATACTGATAAAAATAGAAAATTTTGAATGGCCCCTTAGGAAAAAAGAATTAGGCACATGGTGCCGACTGGGCCTAAATGGTAACCAAATTTTGGTATTTCAGTGAATAAGAACTTCAAGAACCAACTACATTCTCCCAAATTGATTCTTTATGTGCTTCTATTCTTAATCAAACTGAATGACAGGGGAAATGCTTGTTGGACCTGCGAGAGCACTTTTCATGGATGAAATATCTACTGGGTTGGACAGTTCCACCACTTTCCAGATTGTCAAATGCATGAGACAAATGGTTCACATATTGGATGTGACCATGATCATTTCACTACTGCAACCTGCTCCAGAGACCTATAACCTTTTTGACGACATTATCTTACTGGCAGAAGGTCACATTGTCTATCAAGGTCCCAGAGAAACAGCCTTAGATTTCTTCAAGGGCTTGGGCTTCAAATGCCCTGATCGAAAAGGAGTTGCTGATTTTCTTCAGGAAGTGACATCAAAGAAGGATCAAGAGCAGTATTGGTACCAGAAGGACAAGCCATATAGATATATATCTGTTCAAGAAATGGCAGAAACCTTCAAGTCTTTTCACGTTGGCAAGACCATCAGTGAAGAGCTCAGAATTCCTTATGACAAATCTAAGACTCATCCAGCAGCTTTGGTGAAGAAAACCTATGGAATTCCCAACAGGCAACTCTTTCGCGCTTGCTTTTCAAGGGAATGGTTGCTGATGAAACGAAACTCTTTTCTTTATGTATTCAAGACTGTTCAGATAACAATCATGTCCATAATATGCTTCACAGTGTTCTTTAGAACACAGATGCCATATGGTCAATTAACCAATGGAGGCAAATATTTCGGAGCTCTTTTCTACAGTCTTGTCAATCTCATGTTTAATGGGATGGCTGAACAAGCACTGACAGTATTCAGATTGCCAGTCTTTTACAAACAAAGAGATTATTTGTTCTATCCTGCTTGGGCCTTTGCATTACCCATATGGATCTTAAGAATCCCTATATCACTCCTGGAATCCACAATATGGATTGTGCTAACATACTACACAGTTGGATTTGCTCCTTCTGCTGGAAGGTATGACATTCAACTAGCTTTTGTTTCTCTGTCATAATTTTCATACTATTTTAACAAGTTTTTCTTCACCAACAGCCTGTAAAATATAATTTCCTAATAGCTTTATTACTCCAGGTTTTTCCGGCAATACTTGGCATTATTTAGCATACATCAGATGTCTCTTGGTTTGTTCCGATTCATTGCTTCAGTTGGAAGAACTCAAGTTGTTACTTCAACACTAGGGACCTTTTCCTTGCTTGTGATCTTCGTCCTCGGTGGTTTTATAATTTCCAAAAGTAAGCTTTCAAAAATGCCTTTTGCATTGGATAACTTTGATGTGAAATATGTAATAGCTCACCAAAAAAGCTTAAGATATTCCTCAGATGCCATGCAATATTGATATTTATTTCTCCAATGATAGATGACTTAGAACCATGGATGAAATGGGCATACTATATTTCTCCCATGAGCTACGGACAGAATGCTATTGCAATAAATGAATTTCTTGATGAAAGATGGAACAAAGTATGCTTCTCCTTTGCATTCCAGTGATCTTGAATTTCAAATTATTTTCATTTTTTGTGTCGACTTTCAATTTCTTTGTCCATGATTTTGAGACCCTTCAATTAATACTTGTATTGTTTCTCCATGCAGCCTATGGATCCCAACAACAAGCTGCCTACAGTAGGGAAAATCCTCCTCCAGGAAAGGGGTTTCTATACAGATGAAAAGTGGTTTTGGATTTGTGTTGCTGCACTCCTGGGATTTTCTATTCTCTTTAACATATTATTCATTGCAGCACTGACTTTCTTGAATCGTATGTCCAGATCATTCCATCATTCACTATTTTACACCTGTTAAATGGAAATTATGGTGCTGATCTTATTCTAATACATTTCCAGCTTTGACTGAATCAAACACAATGCTGGAGGATGATGACAGCAAAAATAAGAATAATTCAGCTAAAGGTACTACTCATTTTCATATTCAGTATCCAGGAGAAATTGAAACTTAAATTTAAGAATTTTCTGATTATCTGGCTTGTAAGCCTTTTCACCTCATGTGTGATCTTCTGAACATCGAAAGAAATTTCTGCAATAAAGTTGGTCTCTTACTGTTTTAACAAATTGCTTGCCTACATTTGTAGATGAGGAAATGAAAGAAATAAGTTTGGACGGCTCTCCTATGCACACAGCCCCAAAAGTGATGGCTTTACCTTTTCGACCTCTGTCACTTGTGTTTGATAATGTTAACTACTTTGTCGATATGCCAGCTGTAAGTTGCTGCTTCACATTCAATGTGTACTGTTAAGTTCACTTAGTAATGATAACTATGAGTTTTTGTGAACTGAAGTGTAGAATTGTGATGACTTAGGCTAAAATGTTTTTTTTTTATATTTTTTAAAAGTAGTAACAAATATAAAAAGAATCACTCGAATGCATTTGGCATGTGTCGATTTAATCAGGAAATGAAAGCTAAAGGCGCGCAAGATGATCGTCTCCAACTACTTCATCATGTGAATGGTACTTTCAGGCCAGGAGTATTAACAGCGCTTGTCGGTGTCAGTGGTGCTGGCAAAACAACCTTAATGGATGTTTTAGCCGGAAGAAAGACAGGTGGATACATTGAGGGGAATATCAACATTTCAGGTTACCCGAAGAAGCAGGAAACATTTGCTCGAATCAGTGGATACTGCGAACAGAATGATATTCATTCACCTCATGTCACAGTTTTCGAATCTGTTTTATATTCTGCCTGGTTACGACTTCCAAAAGAAGTGGAGGAAGCATCAAGAAAGGTTGTAGTTCCTTTAAAGCATCCCTTTCTTATATAAATACAATAAATTGAATGATCTTTTTGCTATTAACCAAACTATTTTCCTTCGATGAGTAGGCTTTTGTCAATGAAGTAATGGCATTGGTGGAGCTTACATCATTAAGAAATTCTTTAGTCGGGATTCCTGGAGTCAGTGGCCTTTCAACTGAACAGAGAAAGAGGCTAACAATTGCTGTGGAGTTGGTTGCAAATCCATCAATAATTTTCATGGATGAACCAACTTCCGGTCTCGATGCCAGAGCTGCTGCCATTGTAATGCGTACAGTGAGAAATACAGTCGATACAGGCCGGACTGTAGTCTGCACAATTCATCAGCCTAGCATAGATATATTTGAAGCTTTCGATGAAGTATAGTGCCAAATCTATATATGCTTTCTTGAACTAACACAATTTCTACTTCATCATTCTCTTGTCTAGTTCAATAAACACTTGAGACTAATAATTTAGCTTGGTGCAGCTACTATTGTTGAAAAGAGGAGGGAGGGTCATCTATGCCGGGCCTATCGGTTGGCGATCTCAGAACCTGATAGAATATTTTGAGGTTAGTAAGATCCTCCTACAGTTCGTTCATCTTTAATTGAGAACATCAAGCAAGCTATTGTGATCATTCTTATCGATGTTTTGCTCCATTTCAAACACGGTTATTTTGTTGTGTGACAGGCTATTCCCGGGATCCGAAAAATCGAAGATGGATACAATCCAGCTACATGGATGTTGGAAGTAACTACAACTGCAATTGAGAATCAACTTGGAGTTGATTTTGCAGATATTTATGCCAATTCATCTCTTTATAAGTAACGCAAAAGTCTTGAATTCTTTACAGTGTCATATATTATGGTTCATTATTCTCTAAAAAGTATGATCATTGTCCATCAAATTATTTTTTCAGGAGGAATAAAGATCTTATAGAAGAACTCAGTACTCCTCCACCAGGTTCAAAGGATCTCAGTTTCCCTACAAAGTACTCTCAGCCATTTATCACTCAGTTCAGAGCTTGCTTCTGGAAGCAGTTTTGGTCGTACTGGCGCAATCCCAAATACAATGCCGTACGATTCTTCATGACAGTCGTCATTGGTACAATGTTCGGCATCATTTTCTGGCAGAAGGGACAGAAAACGTAAGTCTGAGTATTGTTTAGATTGAGTTTACTCTAAGAACTTGCTTTGTTTTTGTCGAATTCGTTATATTTTCTTCGACAGCGCAAAACAACAAGATCTTCAGAACCTCGTTGGAGCTATTTATTCGGCAATCCTCTTCCTCGGCGCCACGAACTGTGATAGCGTGCAAAGCGTCGTTTCTGTAGAGAAGACAGTGTTCTATCGCGAAAGGGCAGCTGGAATGTACGCAGCCTTGTCTTATGCAATCGCGCAGGTACCATAATTTATTCGCCGAGCAATTTCCTTAACTACGACAAAGATGAAAATGCAGCCATTTTTCTACACACACTTAACATTTGCAGGTGGCTATAGAGATCATATATGTCGCAATACAAACACTGGCGTATGATCTACTGCTGTATTCGATGATCGGATTCGACTGGAAGATCGACAAATTCCTATGGTTCTACTACTTAATCTTCATGTGCTTTGTCTACTTCACTCTATTCGGAATGATGCTCATTGCGATCACCCCCGGCCTACAATTCGGCGTCGTTATGGTCGGGTTCTTCCTCAGCTTATGGAACTTGTTCTCCGGCTTCCTTATCCCCCGAACGGTATGTTAATTTTGTTAAAATATATTTAGAAGCAATATATTACATTTATGGTAGTTATCTTATTTAACAGATTCGTAGGATTTTTGTCTTATATTCTTATGATTGGAATAAAGAATTTTCATATTCTCATAAATTTAAGTGTTTCCGTATGGAAAAATAATTATATGTTTGTGTATTGTATCGCAGAAAATCCCGATATGGTGGAGATGGTACTATTGGGGTTCTCCGATGGCCTGGACGATATATGGCCTTGTAGTCTGTCAAGTTGGCGACGTGACATCTCCGATGGAGGTCACCGGAGTTGGCCAAATTCCGGTGAGGGAGTTCCTCAAACAGTACTTCGGATATGATCACGACTTCCTGCCGGTAATCGGCTTCATGCATCTGGTTTTCGTCGTCTTCTTCGCATTGATCTTTGCCATGGGGATCAAGAATCTCAACTTCCAGAGGAGATAATCGATCGTATTATGGTACATTATGTTGAAATGAGTTGCAGATGTTACTTTGAAGCTTCGCTGTACAGGTACGTAAACACCCCTTTGCTTTTTGGCTGTAGTTTTGGTTAGGGAAAAAAAAAAAAAGGAATTTTATTAAAAATCATAATAGTAACGATAAATAATGTGGACAAAGATGTTGCAGAAAAATTTACTGGAAGTGATTGGAAATTGTTGAATAGGAGATGACCATAATTGGAACAAAGGATAATAAAAAATATATACGCTCCACAGCAATTAGTTTGGGTTTGACCTAGAATTAAAGAAAATGAATATTTTATTAAAACATTCAAAGGGTGTGTTTGTTTGGGGGTTAGGATTTTGGGCTGGAAAAAACAGGTGTTGACAGTAATGTTATAAAAAATAGGTGTTTAATTTGATACTTTTTTTGTGTGGGGGATTGGGGGAAAAAAAAATTGGATAAACAGTGTAAATTCAATCCAATCTCCCAAACAAACACACCCAAAATGTATTTAGGGTATTTTGAAAATTTAGTTAGTAATTATAAAGGATGAATTTTATTTTTTAATAAAGGTAATGATATTTGTAGTAAATAAATATTCAACGAAGGATATTAATTAAATATTAACTTTTTGATTTTTTTTTAAATATAATAATAAGATAAATTTAACCATTGAAAGAGAATAAATATTTATTGAATTTGAAAACTTTAGAAAAGAAAGTATAAAACATTTACAATTTCTCACCTCTCAAAATTAGTATATCAAATATTATAAATATTAAATAAATATACTATAAAAATATAAATAAACAAATAATTAGTAAATTAATAAAAAATAAATTAATATCATAAATGCTAAAAAAAATTAATATTAATATTAATATGTATATGTATATGTATATGTATATACATATATAAATAAATACATGTTGGGCCAACATGGACTCTCTTTTCATGATGGGCCTTGGGCAAAGGCCTCTATCGCCAGCCTAGGACATGCACTGCGTTTAAATAAATTTAGACACAACTCATAAGTAATTAAAATCATTATCATAATTATAAAATATAATATATAAATATCGTAACAAAAAATAATTTATTGAAAATTTATTTAAGTTTATTTAGCTAGTATACAAATTAGAGCTATTTTACCTTAATGTTAAGCCATGTATTAAAAAAAAATATATATAAATGGATCGAGTCTTCTATATTATAGATACGAGAGTTTTTTTTTATAAAATTATATTCCAAAAATACACAAGTGTATTTCGAGTTTCAAATATGCAAATATATGAGAACTTTTTATTGTAAATTGTGAAATTTTTTATTTATGCACAATAAAATATTTTTATCTTGATAAAAATTTGGATCATATATAAATATATGCTCCCTCCTTGTCATATCTATCTATTTGTTTACTTTTTGTATGGAGTTTTAAAATATTAATATTATATTGGGATGTAGTAGAAATAAATGTAAAAAGACTAAACTAACATTATTAGTATTGTATGATATAAAAGTAAAGACATTTGTGTAATACTCCCTTCCTCCCATATCTATATATCCATTTACTTTTTGCACGGAGTTTTAGAAAAATCAGTATATTGGAATGTAGTAGAAATAAATGTAAAAAGACTAAATTGCCCTTATTAGTATTGTATGATATAAAAGTAATGACATTTGTGTAATATATTGTAAATTATAAGGGTAATTCTAATATTAGGTTGATAGTACAATTACTAAAAAAGGAAGTAGATACTTTGTTATGAGACGGACCAAAATAAAGAAATGAATAGATTGTTAAGAGACAGAGAAAGTATGATTTACCGTTATCAATAAACTGCGAAATATATGTCTCATATATGTCTATGCTTCTTCACAATATCTTTAAAATGTTGTGACATTGTTCGATTCGAACACATGGTGTGATTATTGTTGCCATCAAGCACATCATGTGAATGGAAATCGACATAGAGGATTCACCTCATGTGGAGTGATATTCGAAACCATCATGCAACAATTCTTCAAGAATGTCTGGCATCGTACATCATTTGAAATTTCTATCGTCGATGACTCAGTCGAGAGCTTGCAAAAGAAAAAAAAAAAGAATTGAATTTAGGTGTATCGATGGATTCAAAAATTTTGTTCTTGTAACTGTTATTTTCAAATTTTCTACTATTTAAAATTGCAAAAGTATTCATGATTTCTTATAAGAATTATATTAATTTTTAAATACTCCCTTCATCCCATATCTACATGTTCATTTATTTTTTGCACGGAATTTTAGAAATATTAGTATTATATTGAGATATAATAAAAATAAAGTAGAAATAACTAAAATGACCTTATTAGTATTGTGTGTGATAGAAATGTAATGACATTTATGTAATATATTGTAAGTTATAAGAGTATTTGTAATGTTGGGTAAATAGTACAGTTACTACAAGAAAAAAAAAAAGAATACTTTGTTATGGGACGAAATAAAATAGAAAAATTGATAGTTTGTTAAAGGAAAAAAATGAATATAAAATATCGTATCAAAATTAGCATGCAAAATCTTTAAAAATAAATGACTAGCCATATACACCCTATAATTTTAAATTTTAAATTTTAATTTTAAATTTAAATGAAGAATTATATATTTTCCCATATTAATTAATTAATTAATTAATTAATAATTGATTAGTCATGTTTTTTCCCCCAAACATCATATTCTCTATTAATGTGATTTTGGGGTCATAAATAGGAGAATCTAGCTTGTGTTTAAATAGGGGAATCTAGCTTGTATTCAAATATTTTTTTGATTTTATTGAATGTTAGTGGATTTAATTATTTAATAAAGTAATATGGTTTCACACTTAAATGAAATAAATAAATAATCTCAATTTTTTTTCATTAGATTAGATCCCAAAATTAATTCAAAGCTTCATATTATATATATATACATATTTAAGAAAAAAAAAAGAAATTCAGCATGAGTGTAATTTGAATAATTTGAACTTTTTTATTATACAATCTCATTATTAATTTAGAAATTTATTAATTTATTTACAAAACATCACATTAAATTATTATTGAAACACATAATACAAAAACTTTTCGCTAAAATGGTCCTCCGGTACCGGAGTCGCCGCGCTGGCTGCCGTTACTGACGTGGCGCTAACGTGGCTGACACGTCATCGCCACGTAGATGCCACATCGAATGACCATTTTAGCGAAAAAAAATTACTTACGGGACTATTTTCAGACATGATTCACTTAAATTTCTAGAATGATAAATGAAGACTAAAAAAATAGTTTATCATACTTTTTAGAACATGTTTCAATGGATGAGATTCGGAATATTTGGTTTAAATTTATACCTTGGATATGTGTCTTTAAATTTTGCAATAACAACAACACTAATAATAATAATAATAAAAATATCAAATTAAATATATAATTTTTATTTATATAATACAAAAAAATATTTTAAATGTTACATCAAACATCTATCCATATTGCATCAAGTACTATTTTAATTTATTGTATTTTACATGTATATTTGATCCATATATACTTTGAATAAATTTCTAGGTTTTGTAATGTTTTAAGCAAAACCCAAAGCAAATATGAAAAAAAAATAAAAAATTTAAAATTAAAAGAAAATTATGAAAGTATTGCATTAAATAAATTGGTTCAATTTCCTATTATTTATTTTGCTATATATATATATATATTACTCCCTCCGGCCATCTAACATGTAAAGTATAATTAGTAAGTAATTAAAAAATATATTAATAAAAATAATTATTATTTAGTAAAAATAATTATAGATTAAGATCAAGATAAGTAAATAGTTTAATTTAAATTAAGAAAATTATAAAATTTAAAATTTAAAATGCTATTAAAGTGCATAATTATATTTCCAAAAATAGAAAGGACAAGTTACGTGGAACGGACAAAAATAGAAAATAAGAACAAATTATGTGGGACGGAGTGAGTATTAAATTCTATTCTATCATGAGTAGTTAATACTCATTTCGTTTCACATAATTTCTCTATATTTTCTATTTTCGTTCGTTCTCATAACTTGTCATTTCTTTTTTTGGAAATATGATTATCCACTTTAATCCTATTTTAAGTTTTAAATTTTATAATTTTTTTAATCTTAATTAAACTATTTACTTATCTTAATCCTAATCTATAATTATTTTTACTAAATAATAATTATTTCTACTAATACACTTCTTAATTACGTACTATACTTTACCTAAATTCTCCTATCTACAGTAACACATTTAAAATATATGGGACGGAGGGAGTAAGTCTTTACTTGTGGTCCAAAATGAGCAATTGAGGATTTGAGTTTTTATAGATTTGTGAAATTGATTCTTAATTGTTAAATTCTATTATATTTGTTGGTATTTATAAGATTTTTGTGAGGAATGCTTTGGGCTATTGTTTAGATATTTTTATATGAAAAAATATTTAGATTGAGTGATAATTTATTTATTATTAATTCAATAATTGCATTTATAATTGTATAGTTGCTCAATACTGACTTATTTTAAAAAATTTACCATAAAATTTCAAAAAGTTTGCATAGAAATTAGTGAGTTATAATTAAACCTTTTCAGAATTTATTGCAATTGAGATGTTCAAGTATCTACCTAACTTTTATTATTATTATTATTTGTTGTTTTTTCAATAAGACAATAATAAAATAAATAAAGATTAGAATTTATTTATTTGTACAATCAATTTAATGGAATAAAATATATAATCGATAATAATAAAGCACATGAGTACATTTTTGGAAATCTGTGTGTTTCATTCGATTAGTTTGGAAAGAAATTTGGTTTGAGTTTGATATTAAAATAATGTTTGACGAGATATTAATGAAAAAAAAAAAAATTCGAAAAATGTAAATACTAAATAGTTAAAAATTGGGAATTTTGAGGTAAAGAAACAAACCCGACCCCATTGGAGTTTTGGAGTGTTTGTTTGAGGGATTGGATTTTATTCATCTCATTTTTTCTCCTAAAAAAATATCAAATCGAACATTTATTTTTCATTTTTTATATTATACTAAAAATTAATTTTACATTCAAAACATCACGTCAACACCTATTTATATCACATCGTACAATTATTCAAATTCAAAATTTTTACTATTCAAATCCCAATTCAAAATCCAAACCCTGACAAACACACCCTTAGTGTAAAGTGAGGGAAATTATTCAATTGATCCTTATAGATACTTGCTATATGGACGACTGTAAATTAGGGTGATAAAAATGTTTTATTACACTATTTGAGGACTGTTAAATTTAATTTAAATTTTACTATTTACAAACTCAAAATTCAAATTTAAACATCAAAGAAACACACATTTAGATTTTATTTGTTTTTTAATTGAGATGGTTGATATTTTGTGTTTTCAAACTGAAATCAATATTGTTATATTGTGTATATTTTTTTGTTAATAAAAATATACTTCATACTTGATTAGAAATTAAATATTTTTTATGTTTAATTAATTTAAAATTTATATTACAAAAATATAATCAATATGTGTGTTATTTTACAATAAAATAAATTTATACACAATACAATATATATATATGTAATTAATGTAATCAATTTAATTAAAAATAGGAATAGAGTGAGTATATTAATTTATTACTTTTAATGTTAAATTTAATACTTCCTTCATCCCGCCATAAATAACCTAATTTTTTCTGATACATCCCATAAAAATGATCCCTTTCCATTTTTTTTTAAGTTTATCGCTCTTAAATATACTTAACAAATATAAATCAATTTTATTAAACTTCTAACATCTTATAAGTAGGACCCACTCAAAACCCCTTTATTTCTATCTCTCTTCAATTAACAAATATTTTTATCTACTTTTAAAACTCCTTATTTTTTATAAAACTAATTTATGGTAACGATAAATAAATAAATATATTTTTTTATTCATTTGTATTATATAAAATTTTATTATCTACAAAATGATATCAATATTGCATATATTTTATTGAGATATAATTTTAAAAATATTTAAAATACCAACAACACTATACGTATAAAAATAATAAAATATTATCTTAACTTATTATTAATAACTTAATAACCTACACTACCTAAAATACCGTGTCCCTAACAAAAAGCTTCATATTTGGCGGGATAGAGGGAGTAGTAAATATTGAGATATTTTAGATATTCGTTTAAATTTAGATTTAATTATTTTCGATTTGGTTTTATCCATTAGATTAATTGTTACAATTATGACTCTATTTTCATTATGAATAATAACTCAATTTTTTAGTAGATAAAATATACTAATTTGTATTTATTTGGGTACATTGAAATGTACCCCTAGTCTTCAAATTTTGTTAGTATTTCTATTTAGAATCTTGATTTCCATCTGCATTTGAAATTTGAGTATTGTCTGCGTATCTCTATTTGATTCTGTCATATTTCTCAAGAGCTATGTGTCTGATTGTCTGCATATTTGTCTACGAGTCATGTTTCTCCAGAGCTATATATTTGAATGTATTGAAGAGTTCCGTTATTTTCGACTCCGATGAGAGTTCTTTTGTTTTTGATTTCGTTGAAAGCCCGGTTGTTTCCATCTCTAATTCAGTTGAGAACAGTGATTTTGGTTTTGATGCGGTGGAGCGGCATAGGCAACAACAAATGCAATTGTTTGTCAAACTCAACTTGGTTTCTGCTATACCACTTGAATTTGAGATGAAATGTTCACATAGTTTAAATATTTAGTTTAGATTTATATTTAGTTGCTTTAGATTTGATTTTATCCATTTGATTAGGTTGTTATGATTTGAGTTTATCTATTTCATACCTATTTATAGGTCTATAACAATAACACAAATTTTGAATTTTCGTAAAATATTTTTACAATAAATAACAGTTGTTTGTAATATTTTTTTTCAATAAAAAAAATATTTTTCATATAATGCATAAATTAATACTCCCAATGTCCCTTTTCAATTTACTCACTTAAGATTTTATATTAGATTAAAAAATAATATTTAATGGTTAGGGAAAGTGTGCAATAAATTTTCATATTTTTTTTATTTATATTTATATATAAAATAATTGTATGTATAATTGTATGTTTCTAATTGAAGTAAAAGTCAACGGAATTTTTGGTATAATGTGTATAATACTTTTATTAAAATAGAAAACAAATACTTTTCAGCTGAACAAATAAAAATAATAAAAAAAATATTTTGAATTGGAATGCAAACAGTATAATAATATTTATATAAATAAATATAAATCTAAAAATATTTGTAATGAAATATTGTTCATATTTATTGAAAATAGAGATGAGTCATTTCACAATTACAGTAGACGATTTTTGTGAACGGAAATAAAAAGTATAATTAACTAGTATATTTATAAATATCAAAAGAGGAAAGAGAGTGAGAAATATATTTCATTTGGTTCCGGTTTGAATCGTTTTAAATGAAATATTGATTTGAATTTTTATTTAAATAATATTTTAATATGCTATTTTTTCGAAGAAATAATATTTTTTTCGTATTGGCACTGATGACCCTTTTTTTTTGTGTGTCTCACATGATTCATTTATATTTTTAGTAAATTTATTAATTTTAAATATACTTTAACAAATATAAATCAATTTAATTAAATTTTTAATCACCTCGGCATATGATCCACTCAAAACTCCATTGTTTCTATCTATTTCCTCAATTAACAAATATTTTTATTTATCTTTAAAACTTTCTATTTTTTTTATAAAACTAATCTATGATAATGATAAATAAATAAATATATTTTATTATTTATTTTTATTATATATAATTTATTTTCTATAAAATGATATTCATATTATATACTCCCTCCGTCCGCTTACAAAGTTTACATGTTTTTATTTTGGGACGTCCAATTATAAAGTTTACGTTTCATTAAATACCCTACTTTTTTCCACAATATCCTTACTTTACATCACATCATTACTTTTACACAAAAAGGTAAGGACAAACATGTCATTACATTACTTTTAACTAGTCACTATAATTAAAATACTATTATTTCTTAAATACCGCGCTAAAAGTAAATATAACCCTTGTAAATGGAAGGAAGGAGTATATTTTATTGAGATGTAATATTAAAAATATTTAAATACATCTTTTAATTGTTTTTTGAATCATTAAATAACTAATCTCACTATTTAAATAACTAATTTATACTACCCAATTTTCGTGTCCAAACAAAAGATTTCATTCTTATTGGACGGAGGGAGTATATTTTTATTGAAAATCTTATGAATCGAATAATGTTGATTTCAATTTGAAATTATAAAAAATAATTATTTAAATATATTTTGGAAAGAATTTTGGGTGTATTTACTTATACAATTTTTACATGATTTTACTATTCTAACTTTTTTTTTTCCTAAAAAAAATATCAAATCAAACACCAATTTTTTTATAGTTATTATATTACACTAAAATTTGATTTTATATACAAAATATCACATCACAGTAATATATATTTATATCATCAAACAACTATTTCTAACTCAAAATTTTACTATTAAAAACCAAAATAAAAAATCAAAATCATACAAATAAAGTCTTTTAACTCAAATTTTACTATGAATTAATGTCTTTTAACAATATTAAAGTAAATATTTATTTTTTTAATTTTTATATTATAATAAAAATTATTTGTATTTACTATATTACATAATTTTTTTTAAATAACTATTATTCTTCCTTCCGTCAGCCTTTAAAAGTTACATTTATCTTTTACGTTATTGTACTCAACATTTAAAATATCTTTATATTTGTATAATTTTGTTTTGTACGAATATCCTTCTATTAGTATTATAAGATACTAATTCAAGTATTTTTGCAATTTTTTTTTTTTTAATTTGTATTATATTTCGATATAATAATTATTATTTAAATATCAACGCATAAAAAGTAAATAAGATCCTTAGAGAGAAGTAGTATTTAAATGCAAAACTTCAAATCCAATTTTAAAACGCACAAACAAACACATCCCTCAATTTTAAAAAATAATAAAATGTTATAAAAAATAAATAAACATGTAATATAATATAAATAGAAAATATATTGACTTTTATACAATAGTTTAAATAAAATTAATTAATAAAAATGCGACATGTTCTAGAAGTTTCTTTTTGTGAAATGTATCTCAATATGTTCGAATATGTCCGTAAAAAGAGCTTAATTGTCTTAATCGTGTGGACATTTTGAAATTAACAGAACACATTCAATGGGATCATTTCTGAATTTAGAAAAAATCATAATGTCTTAAATAATTCCATAATAAAAAAAAAATATTATTTTATATGTAACAAAAATCCGATTTAGCAAACCAAAATAATCGGTCAAAAATTATTATTAAAATAAAGTAATATAATATCGTTACATTATTCCAAATTATAATAACTTTTTGATTACCAAAATATATCATATTACAAAAAAAAAATAATTGTTATATCAAATTTGTTATTATTATTATAAATAATACGCACATTTTAAAATACACGTATCTGGACACCAATTCTCTCTCCGCGCTTTTTCTGCAAACGATTCTGCCCACGCGCCTTTAGATCCGTGTGACGCACGCGCTGCACCGAATTTATATTACAAAAATGCGTAGAAATTGCCATAATGCTCTAAAGAGTACGTAAGGATCCATGAAAAGCTTGGGGAAGCTAATCCACACTCACACTGCACTCATTTCCTGCAGTTTGATGATAGTCTGATTGAATCGTCGGAATCGGAATCGGATTCAGATGGCGGCGAGTACCTTGGCCGGCGACGATGTGAGGAGGCTGAGCGCTCAGCTGAGTTTCGGATCGTCGGGGCGGAGGAGCTTCGCGGATGCTTGGCAGCAGCAGGAGCCGGACGCCTTCAGCCGCGTCGATCGGGAGAATACCGATGAGGAGGAGCTGGTATGGGCGGCGCTCGAGCGCCTCCCTACCTACGATCGAGTTGGCCGGAGTATGCTGTCGAAGGCGCTCGACGACGGAACGTTTAAGGCCAGTGAGATCGACGTTAGGAAGCTTCGTGGAGAAGATAGGAGAGAATTGCTGGAGAAGATCTTCAAATTGGTGGAGGATGACAACGAGAAGTTTCTCCAGGGTATGAAAAATCGCGTGGAAAGGTACGTGAGTAAAGTTAACTGATAGATCGATGGCGCCATGGATGATTTTGAGGAATCGATTAGCATTTGAATTTGATGGATTTTGGTAGGGTTGGAATGGAAATACCTAAAATCGAAGTGCGGTACGAGCAGCTATCAGTGGATGGATACGTGCACGTTGGGAGCAGAGCACTCCCCACTTTACTCAACGCCGCCATTAATACGGTTGAGGTAGAAACCGCCATTGTTAGCTCTTCTGATTGGGCAAAATTCTTCCATTTTCACAATAAATTTGCTTTGGAATTGATTGATTGATCGATATTGCTGTTGAACTTGATAATTGATGGCAGAGTGTTCTCGGATTGCTCCGAATAGTCCCTTCGAAGAAGAGAAAGATCAAAATACTTGATGAACTCAGTGGCATTATCAAACCGTCTAGGTAATTGATCTCTAATAACTCATTCCAATTTCCAATTGCTTGTTTAATCTCTACCTAGTTTCGTATTCGAGTCATGGTTTGTTGAATTGCAGGCTTACGCTTCTGTTGGGTCCTCCGGGCGGGGGGAAGACGACGTTCCTGGTTGCGCTTGCAGGGAAGCTTCATGATAGCTTAAAGGTATATATATATATGTATGTATGTATATGTTTCCTTCATTTTGCAGCTAGATATTATCGATTTCGCTGCAATTAACAGCTACTTGTGTACAGAAATCGGGGAGGATCACATATTGCGGCCATGAGTTCAGCGAATTTGTTCCTCAAAGAACATGTGCTTATATCAGTCAACATGATCTTCATCATGGAGAGATGACAGTTAGGGAAACATTCGATTTCTCAGGGAGGTGTTTAGGGGTCGGGCCTCGATATGAAATGTTAGCAGAGCTCTCAAGGCTTGAGAAAAAGTCCGGAGTTGTACCTGACTCTGAGATCGATGCTTTCATGAAAGCAGCAGCCATCTCTGGTCAGAAACACAGTTTGGTCACAGATTATGTTCTCAAGGTTGTATATTATCGATCATTTCTTTTCGTGTATGTGAAAGATAGCGAAAAGAACTAATTGTTCTAATCTTTTGAATCATCGACAGATACTTGGAATAGATATATGTGCAGAGACAATAGTTGGTGATCAAATGAGGAGAGGTATTTCAGGAGGACAAAAGAAACGTGTGACTACTGGTAAGATCTCTACTGACGGCATAAGGGCCTAAATTGTTTACCTATTGATCGATCATTCGGCTTTAAATGTTAAATGTCTACGTACTTGTTCTTCATCAAATTTGAGTTTCTAAATTGTTTGCCAATGTAAAATTTTCAATCTGTTTTGTTGTGCTATATATGTTCTTATCAGATAACTCTCTTTGTCAAGATTAATGTTGTCTGTTGAGCCAATTCTTAATCGAACTGAATGACAGGGGAAATGCTTGTCGGGTCAGCGAGAGTTCTTTTGATGGATGAAATATCTACTGGATTGGACAGCTCCACCACTTTCCAAATCGTCAAATGCATGAGGCAAATGGCTCACATATTGGATCTAACGATGATCATTTCTCTACTGCAACCAGCTCCCGAGACATATAACCTTTTCGACGACATTATCTTACTGTCCGAAGGTCAGATTGTCTATCAAGGTCCAAGAGAAACAGCTCTCGACTTCTTCATGCACTTGGGCTTCAAATGCCCTGCTCGAAAAGGAGTTGCTGATTTTCTCCAAGAAGTGACGTCGAAGAAGGACCAAGAGCAGTATTGGTATCAGAAGGACCAGCCGTATAGATTCATCACTGTTCGAGAAATGGCAGAAGCCTTTAAGTCCTTCGATGTCGGCAAAAGCATCCGTGACGAGCTCAACATTCCTTACGACAAATCTAAAACTCATCCGGCAGCTTTGGTTAAGAAAGCGTATGGAATTCCCAATTGGGAGCTCTTGCGCGCTTGCTTCTCTCGAGAATGGTTGTTGATGAAACGCAACTCGTTTATATACATATTCAAGACGGTTCAGCTAACGATCATGGCTGTTATATGCTTCTCTGTGTTCTTCAGAACACATATGCCGTATGGAAAGTTAACCGATGGAGGCAAATACTTCGGCGCGCTTTTCTTCAGTCTTACAAACGTTATGTTTAACGGTGTGGCTGAACAAGCCATGACCGTATTCAGGTTGCCAGTCTTTTACAAACAGAGAGACTATCTTTTTTACCCTGCTTGGGCTTTCGGCTTGCCTATATGGATCTTGAGAATCCCTCTCTCTTTCTTACTATCAACAATTTGGGTTTGTATAACATACTACACCATTGGATTTGCTCCTCCTATATCAAGGTATGAACATGAGAATTCTCAATTATTTTTTTGTCCTTAGTTCTCAAACTGTGATTCCCTGATTGTTTTGTAATCTTTTCTTGCAGGTTCTTCAAGCAATACCTTGCATTCTTCAGCATACATCAGATGGCTCTTGGTATGTTTCGATTAACAGGTTCCATTGGTAGAACACAAGTTATTACTTCAATGATCGGAAGCTTCACCTTGCTCATTGTCTTCGTTCTTGGTGGCTTTATAATCTCTAAGAGTAAGATCATAAGCATATCTTACATCCTTACAACATTTGCAGCCAAAAAGCACTATTTTTTGTTGATAATGATATCCTTTCTTCAATCTTAGATGATCTGGAACCATGGATGAAATGGGCCTACTATCTCTCTCCCATGAGCTACGGACAGAATGCCATCGCCGTAAATGAATTCCTTGATTCGAGATGGGACAAAGTAAGCTTCTTTAAAGTCCCTGCTCTCGAGTTTTCAAATCCATCAAACGAAATGTTTACATTCTTTCTCAATGCAGCCTATACTTCCCTTGGACAATGTTCATACTGTTGGTAAAGTCCTCCTCCAAGAAAGAGGCTTCTACACCGAGGAGAAATGGTACTGGATTTGTGTTGCTGCACTCCTCGGATTTTCGGTTGTCTTCAATGTTGGCTTCATTATTGCGCTCACTTACTTAAACCGTAAGCTTTCTTCAATGATCATCCCTTATCTTATTATATACACACCTGTTGATTCAATGGAACTTGATGTTGCTGATGATATATACAATGCATTTTCAGCTCTAACCAATGCAAACACTATTATCTTGGATGACGATGAAAGCGATAAGAAAGGTAGGTACTAGTGTTCTTCATGTTTAACATCTTCATTGAGCTCTTCATCTTCTTCTTCTTTCTCCTTAGTTTCTCTGTTAGTTTTCTTACTTACTACATTTGCAGACAAGGAAATGAAAGAAGGTTCGAATAGTCCTTCGCAGGGTGCACCTAAGAAAGGGATGGTTCTGCCATTTCAACCTCTGTCCCTTGTGTTCGATAGCATCAACTACTTCGTGGATATGCCGGCCGTAAGCTCCTTCTTTACATCTTCAACATATATACATTCGCTTCGGTTATTTATATCCTTGCGAAGGACGAAAAGCAGCTTGTGATTATTGAATGTGTTCTTCCATTGTATCAGAAAATGAAAGCTCAAGGAGCTGAGGGCGATCGTCTCCAACTCCTCCACAATGTCAGCGGCACTTTCAGACCGGGAGTACTAACAGCGCTGGTCGGAGAGAGTGGCGCCGGCAAGACAACCTTAATGGATGTCTTAGCCGGGAGAAAGACAGGCGGATACATCGAGGGGAGGATCAGCATCTCTGGGTACCCGAAGAAGCAGGAGACTTTCGCGCGAATCAGCGGATACTGTGAACAGAATGATATTCATTCGCCTAATGTCACCGTTTTCGAATCTGTTCTGTACTCGGCGTGGCTACGCCTCCCTGAAGAAGTGAATGAGGCGTCGCGAAAGGTGGCATCTTGATTTTACTTTTTACCTGAATCTGCATGGATGTTTAAATTTAACCATTTGCTTTGATGAATATGATAGGCCTTTATCGAAGAAGTAATGGAACTTGTGGAGCTTAATCCTCTGAGAAACTCTTTAGTCGGACTCCCCGGCGTCAGCGGCCTCTCGACTGAGCAAAGAAAGAGGCTAACGATCGCAGTCGAGCTGGTTGCGAATCCATCCATCATCTTCATGGACGAGCCGACCTCTGGACTCGACGCTAGAGCTGCTGCCATTGTCATGCGCACCGTGCGAAACACTGTCGATACCGGAAGAACTGTCGTCTGCACAATTCATCAACCCAGCATCGAAATCTTTGAAGCTTTCGACGAAGTATGAGATTCGCGAACTTAACTCTGTTCTTAAGTCTTAAAAACGATCGGGATTAATACTTCACCTTAATTGCTGCAGCTCCTGTTGCTGAAAAGAGGAGGCAGAGTCATCTATGCAGGGCCTCTCAGCCAGCAGTCTCAGAAGCTGATCGAATACTTCGAGGTTCGATAGTCTACTCGACTGCATCATCTATCCTCTTTTCATCGAATACCATCACCATTGTTTTCATCCTGTCGCAGGCAATCCCCGGGATCCCAAAAATCGAAGACGGATACAATCCAGCTACCTGGATGTTGGATGTCACCACAACAACAATGGAGAGGAAGCTAGGAGTCGATTTCGCAGACATTTACGCCAACTCGTCTCTTTATACGTAACAACCTCGAACTCTCTCAACCTAAAGTCCTCTGTTTTTTCATCGAAAAATACTTTCTTGCAGGAGGAATCAAGAACTTATAAAAGAACTAAGCCTGCCTCCACCAGGCTCCAAAGACCTCTCCTTCCCAACTCAGTATTCTCAGCCATTCTTCAGCCAGTGCAAAGCCTGTTTCTGGAAGCAGTTCTGGTCTTACTGGCGAAATCCGAACTACAACGCTACTCGATTCTTCATGACGATCGTCATTGGACTCATATTCGGCGTCATTTTCTGGGATAAGGGACAGCAGACGTAAGTTCGATTCGTCGAGGTGATCATAGCTTTGTTAGATCTTACAATGACCCTTCTTGTGATGTTGTCGACAGTTCGAAGCAGCAGGATTTTCAGAACCTCCTCGGAGCTATCTATTCGACGGTTCTCTTCCTCGGGGCGCAGAACTGCAACAGCGTGCAAGCAATTGTCGCCGTAGAGAGAACGGTTTATTATCGCGAACGAGCAGCTGGGATGTATGCGGCCTTTCCTTACGCATTCGCTCAGGTATCGGAAAAAAAACTTTATCAGCTGATATCCTTACATATGTGGTGTGTATATATATATTCATTCGGAATGTGCAGGTTGCGATAGAGATCATGTACGTCTTCTTCCAGACCCTAATCTATGATCTGATCCTGTACTCGATGATCGGATTCGAATGGTCGATCGCCAAATTCCTGTGGTTCTTCTACTTCATCTTCATGTGCTTCGTGTACTTCACATTGTACGGGATGATGCTCCTCGCGCTCACCCCGGGCCTCCAGTTCGGCACGGTCGTGAGCAGTTTCTTCGTTAGCTTTTGGAACTTGTTCTCCGGCTTCCTCATCCCCCGAACGGTTAGCAACTAACTAACGAACGATCGATCAATCGAACGAGATCGCATTACTCGTAGCTGAAATGATTCGATGTTGTGTGTTGCAGGAAATCCCGATATGGTGGCGATGGTGCTACTGGGCTTCTCCGGTTGCCTGGACGATATACGGGCTGGTGGCTTCTCAGGTTGGCGACATAACGTCTCCGGTGGAGATCACCGGAGTCGGGCCTGTGCCCGTCAACGTGTTCCTTAAGAAGATGTTAGGGTATGATCACAACTTCTTGCCGGTCGTCGGGGTGATGCACCTCGTATTCGTGGTGGTCTTCGGTATAATCTTCGCCTTGGCAATTAAGCATCTCAACTTCCAACGGAGATAACGAGCTCGTATCACATCGATTCGCCGTGTTGCGAAAGCATCGATTTCGGAAAAAATTTTCACTCCATATTTATAAGTTTTTGTTGTTCTTGTTTGTTTGGTGTGTTGTCGCATAAAACATCTCTATGGAGCAAATAATCTTATCCGGTCGGAAGGAAAATCGAATGAACTTCGATAGTTACAAGAAAGGAAGTTCACCTAAAAGTTTAAATTAATAGGAAAATAATACTTAATTAATTACATATTATATAGTCTTTCTTCGATATAAAATCCACATGCAAGTATCCTTTTGAGCATTTTCTTGAACTCGAAAAGATCGTCCATCCCATCTCATCTTCTTATAATCCTCGGCCTCATTCCTGTGGCCAAGAATCTCCAACATAAACTTTAACTCATCTGTGGCGAAGAATCCATCTCGGTTCTTATCAAAAACATCGAACGCTTCCTTCACAATCACCTCCATTTTGTTGCTTTTGTCGCTTATTTCCACAATGGATAGGTATAGTTGTTGGAACTTATCAGGAATTGGATTCTTTAGACCTATGACGCAACCCTTTTTGAGAAAATTGCTAAGTTTCTGCCGTTACTACCACGATGAGATATGAAAAGTAATGAATGTTGCGTCTAGAACTGGCGTTTAGAACTGAGATTAAATTATTGGTTTCTGCACATAGGAGACCTGCACTTAGTAAATACATATTAAACTTAATAAATTAATAGATCACTTAATATAAAGTTAATGTAGCTGATAGTCCATATAACTAACTCACTATTGGATTTTTAATCCAACAATAGCATTTTGAACTCGTCCATGGAGATGAGTCCATCTATCTTTTCCATCATGTTATCCAACTCCTCGTCTAAAATGAAAATTCCCATATTCGCCAAAGAGCTTCGAGCTCATATTTGGGGATCATTCCATCTTTGTTGCGATCGAACATTTGGAATGTGTTTTTGAGCTCATTTGTGTCTAGTTTTGGAATGATGCTCGATGACAATGTCGAGAAGGGCATAGTACATTTTCTTTTCTCTATCTTCTCGTTGTTGATGGCGATGCCAATTCTTGGGACGAAAGTAGTAAGAGAAATAATTTGAGATAAAACAACTCTAAACAACACAAAGCTTGACATTGTTGGAGACTTAGGATAGGGAAAGGATTTGATTCTAATTGCTCGATAAGGAGAGATACAAATGGTTTAAATAGGGTGTCAATTGGCGCCTTTTTGTTTATTTTTTTTCTTTTATATATGTATATACGGCTAAGAGAGTAGAAATATTTTTTGACAGTGGCGGTATTAGTTTAGTTTAGATGGTATATAATATGTACAAACACGACTTATGTTGGGTGGTGGGGTGTGAGTTGGCCAGAAATTATATAATAGGTCTGATTCTTTAGTAAAAATTTTTCAAAATTTACAATTTGGACTCTGCATTTCTCGAAATAAATATTTTTTTTTCTTACAAAATATTGCATCAAATATTATTTTCATATCAAATTCAAACTAATTTTTTTCCAAACTCATCAAATGGAAGGAAATGAACAAATAGTTTGTTTACTTTTAGGCAAATAAGCAAAAGAGTATAAGAGTGGTCTACGAAAATGGAGCAAAGAGTATTAAGAGTGGTTTACCAAAATGGCGCGAAACCTCCAGTTATTTTAAAATTGTGTTAGATTTTTTTTTATACTTTTAGGATTAGTTTGCGCTTAACATTCTCTTGTCATTAGTTAAAAGTGATATCATAGTTATGAATTGTTTGAATTATTTTCACAATTAGAATGTGTATATAACAATTATCATTAACTAATAATAGAACGAAATTACATACATGATTTCTCAAACTAGGTAATCATAAGACATCTCTTATTTTTTATTTTTTTGCTTTGTTATGTATATAATTGATTTGAGACTGATTGTGTTAGTTTAATGTTTTTGATTTGAATTATATTTTTATATTATTAGATATGACAAAATATGATGTCGTTAATACAAAAGAAAATATTATGTATTATATTGTTGATCTTTTGTGAATGAAGAAAGTATACGTATGTATATATTATCTGAGTGTAAATATATATTCTCCTCGTATGCGACACAGATGATCGATTTTTCTTTTTCGTCACATAAAAGATACCATTTTCTATTTTTTAGTAAATTCATTCATCTTAAATTTAATATATATATATATATATATCTAATTAAATTAGTATTAAATTATATATATATCATATGATATAGTATAATACTTAGTTCCTTTTATCCTAGATATTTTGTCCTTTAGATACGAGAATTTCGATAAAGTACAATTACAAAGTAATTAAAAAGTATATTAATTAAAAATAATTATAAACTAAAATTAAGATAGTTAAATACTCAACTATTATTTTCAACCGTCTCTAACTTTGAATTTTTTGGGTTTGTTTAGTTGTGATTTAAAATTTAATTTAAATTTTTGTTTAAATAGTATTTAATGTGATATTTTCTATATATATATATATATTAGAAATGAATAATTGTTGAAATTGACATTTGGATTTTGTGAGGTTTCAAGTTTTTTCGGAATATTATAAACTTCAAAAATCAAACCATCGGATTAGGTCTCAATAATGCTCCCCAAAGTCTGTTTATTAATAAATTTATATATTGAATTATTCATAATATAAATATTATACTAAACTTTTCAATCACAACTTAAAATTATTGAACAATTTTATATAGAAGTGTTGTCGACGTCTTGGATGTATGTGATGTCGGTTGGTTTCATATCAGGGTAAACTTAGTCCAAGTTGCTTGCCTTCGTAATAAATCGAAATTTTCTTTGAATTTTTATTTGATATTGATTTGGTTTGTAAGAATATAGCATTGTTGAGTTTGGATTGGAAATAGCAAGTGGTATCATAGCATAACAATAGCTATTTTTCTGTTTTTTGATAATTTTGAAATTGTGGTTTGTTCTTTGTTTTTTTCTAAAATATTGAAACCGTAATTTGTTCCAGTGTTCTCAATCTTGTAAACGAGGTTTGTTCTATGTTTTTTCAAAGATTGACACCCATATGCTCTTTGTTTTCTTAAAATTTGAAATCGATAGTCTGTTCAATTGTCTTGTAAAATCCTCAAAGATTTTTGAAAACAAACGTTCGAGTAAAGTGTGTTTCGGTTGTTCTAGATCAAATATTAGAATCTGCTTGAATACTGTAAATGAGAATACATGTTTTTGTGAGGATATTCACTTTGTATAGTTGATTTTCATTCAAACTATACAAACTTGTGTATTGAGTGCATAGTTTAGAAGGTCTAACAGACACACATCGAAAGGATTCATAGAAGACAGACAAAGAACTATTGCGGCGTTTGGAGTTGGTAAAATATATATTCGGTTAAATTCTGAAATCTTGAGCAATGGCTATTTTGTGTTTTTGCTCAAGTCTTCTGCTGTTTTTGTTGTGCAGTGGCTGTTTGTGCTTTTGCTTAATTTGTCTATTTTTTTTGTTGGTTGTGTCGTGGTTGTTTGTGATTCTTGCTCGAATTTCTGCTGTTTCAGTTGGGAATTTGTTTGAGAGTGATTTCTGCTTGTTGTATGCTCATTCTCTGTTGGAGTAGTTTATTAATTTGTTTGTTCAATAGGTTATTTGATCGTTTGGTGAGCATCTGGCTATATACTTGCATTGACAATTTTTTTTTTCTTGGTAAAATCTGATTTTTTTAGGAAATTTTTTTAAAATCAGTTTTTGTGAAAAATGGTCAGTCATGCGTAATAAAATATTCAACTTTTTTATAGTAAAATAGATTTTGCTATTTGAAAACAAAAAATGCATAATGTTCTAGTTCCGCAAAGATTGATTAAAGATGTTGAAGTTGAACATACAATTGTATCCCTCTAGCAAAGAGGACCGAATTGAATGAATTGGCCTCATCGTACATTATATTGAATCTTGCGGATCACATAATTAGGAAAATTGGAGTTTATGAATCGTCCAAAGATTTATGGGATAACTAAATCAAATGTAAACTGAAACTTCTCTTCCAAATTGCATTCATTTGTTAGCAAAACTTTTTAGTTATAGATTGAATCTTTCAAAATCTATAGATGAAAACTTCGATGTTTCTACCAAGCTTATAAAGTTATCAAACTAACTGGTGATAAGAATATCAATGACTATAGTTCTATAGTTCTATTAAATGCTATCCCTAATTCCTACTCAGATGTGAAATCGGCTATTAAGTATGGGGGACACTATAACACTAGATGTGGTTATATGATTTAGAAAGTAAGAAAATAGACTTACAACTTTATAAAGCTAATTAACAAAGCCATGAAGAGGTTATGCATGTTAAGGGTATATATCCGTTTAAACCTAGCAATGATGACTCTTCTTCCAATAACAATAAGCAACGAAATAATTCTTACCATAGTCAACATAAGAAAAAGTCTAAAAGTAAGTCAAAGAATAAATCTCAAACTTCCTCTAAGTATGTCAAACGGTGTTTTAATTGTGGTAATACTTCTCATTTTATTAGGAATTGTCCTAAGAAGAACATTAACTCCAATAATAACGGCAATAATGTGAGCGATCCGACTAACGAGCATGCCAACATGACTTTAACCGATAAATGTTTGGGTGATGCAGTTTGCGGTTTTTCCATTGTGTTAAGTGACTTCTTTTGATAAAAATAAATGATTATTATATTCAACATGCACTTATCACATAACACATTTTAAGAATATTTTTTCGAACTATAAAACTCTTACAAATTGATAATTTTGATTAGAAATATTTTTTTTAAACAGTAAAAACTGTAATTTAATCACCGTTTCTTGAAAATAAAATGCACTGTTTTTCTTTACTTTTTAGATACTGCATTGTTGCTGTTTTTCATATGTAGATAAATTTTTTGAATTTTAATTATGCTAATAAATCCACATGTATAAAAGATTGAAAGCAATGTTGGTTCAAACAGTGATGACATCCAATGAGAAATAATCTTCCATGCCCAAAAATGTGGAGACTTGTGATGAATTTTGGGCATATAATATATTGAGGCTCAATACACACAATTGACCCACCCGAATTGACTGCCAACCTGATCTTTGTGAGACCGTCAAATTGCTGAACCATTAACTTTGAACCAGTCTATTGATATATATATATATATTGCTGGATTTGTGAACCGGTTGGAGTAAAAACATTTAGAACACAATAGACCCTTCACTCGATTCGCTATTCTCTCAAGCCCTAGGCGATTCCGATTGATCATCTCATGCCTTCTCCGGTGAATCTGTCCGGCGAGTTGGGAGGTTCTCCTTCCCTGTAGATGTGTGATTCGAACCTTAATAGTTCTACGGTTTGGTTCGCTCGATTTATGCCTTATTGTTGGTTCGCAGTGTAACTTGTTTGCGATGTGGTTTTGGGCTTAACTTCGGCAATGTTTCCTTATGTTGGGTTTCGATTTAGCAAGATTGTTGTGTTTTTGTGGCGTGTCATTTGTGGCAGAGGTCTTGAACTGCTAGCTTGTGTAATAAATCAAAATTTTCTCTAAAATTTTGTTCAATATTGATTTGATTTGTGAAAATATAACATTATTAATTTTGGATTAGAAATAACAACGAACAACAAAAGAAATATTATAGTAAAGTATAATTAATCATAAAAATATTTATTGTGTGTTGAATTATAGTTTAAATTTTTTATAGTTACATATCAAATGATAAAATAAATTATTAAATCAATATAAAGTATACTTTATAGAACTTTTGTTGACAAACGCATTATTAAATAGTGTTACTCTATAATATTGAATATAATATTGAATAGTAGTGTTTAATATTGATAAATTTAGACAGAAGTTTTGGCTTTGATTACATAATTCATTTAGGAATATTTGGAACTTTCGGCTATAATTAATTTTTATTTAAATATTATATTAATTTTTTTATATAAAAGATATATTACATATTAATTTTCCTTTTTTTTTTTTAAATGTTTTAAAACTCTAAAATTTTCTAGCTACACAAAACTTTGTTCCTAAACCCTAAAACTTTTGCATTACTTCCGATAACAATATATTATGGTCTTATGTTGGGTTGAGATTTGGTGACTAAAAATTTTGAACGTAAATAGTTGTATAGATTAGATGTTAATGGGATGATTTAAATATAAAATTAAATGTTAATATAATATAAAAGATAAAAAATAAATATTTAATTTTATATTTTTGGTAAGTAGTAGAAGTTCGTGAAAATCCGCCAAAAGGAATACACCCTTAAAGTATTTACCTAAACAAAAAGAAAACAAATAAAAGAAACAAACAAACAAAAACTAAAACCTATTATGATATAAAAAAAATAAAAAATAAAAATTTAAAGCCTATATATTGTATTTGTCAGCCAAATTTATTCTACCTTTTCTTTTCTAATCTATCCACTAAATTTATCTTTTTACTAATTTTGGCAAAGTTAACAAATCAACATTTAATTATTATTCTTCGTTCAATACTTATTTCCAATCAATACCACTAACTTTATTACATTCTCTCTTCGTCTACTTTTATTTCTAACTAAATTTTCAAAAATATCTTCAACTACCTATCATTTTTTCAATAAATTATTCATTTTTCTGAAACTTCGTGCTGGACCCAAATTGACTATTTTTAGTAGACGAATTGAGTAATACGGAGAATACGATATATTATTCCGAACGCATTTCACTAAAAAATGTTTAACCGCCTCAATATTATTAAGATGTAATATTGGTATCAGCGGATTTGCTTGATTTTAATATGAATTTAAACTTTTAATATAAATAACATTTTAATGTAATAATTTATTAAATAAAATAATATATTTCAAATTAAGAGTCACACAAAAAAAAATGTATGAATATAGTATCAAAATATTTACTTTTATTATTATTTTAAATTATTTTATGAAAAAAATCATACTTCCTCCTTTTTCTACTTAAAAGAAGTAAATATTTATGTTATATGAAGTTTAATGAATATTGTATTTTAATAATAGTTGGTGATAATTTTATTTTAACAAAGGAGTAAAATTAATACGAATATATTGATGTAAATAAATATAAAAATAAATAAATAAATAGATGCTTTATGTTAGACAACAAAAATAAGAAAATGTAAACTTATCTAATAAGTAGAGAGAATATATAATTTTATTACAAACAATGCATAATATTTTCCAAATTACTCCTAATAATTACTTTATCCTACTTTTTAAAATTCTTCAAAGTAAGAACATTTTAATCTTTTACATTATATTTTATACCTATTTTTAATTAAATACTATTATTCTTTAATTCCGATGCTAACTCCCAACAAGACACTAGTTCTGGGACGGAGGGAATACAAACATGATCCCACTATCGCATAGGGATAAAATTAGTGATAGTATTTTTTGTGTTTATTTATTTATTTAATTAGTTAAATCTAAATTTGAGTTTTTCTACCCTAAATTATCTATCTTGTATCTCTAAACGATTTTATTTATTTATTTTCTGGATTGTCTCCAAAATGTTATAAACTTGTGTGTTTACTTGTGTAACTTGACTTTTCATTTTATTATTATAAATTTTTTTTTAAAAAAATATCAAATCAAAAACTTATTTTTTATTTATTATATTACACAAAATTTAAATTTTATATTCAAAATATTATGTCAATATATATTTATATCACATCAAACAACTATTTCACCAAAATCCTACACATAAACACACAAGTCCAGGGTTTTAACCGTTCTGTAAAAAATATTAAAAATAAATAATTATTTTTTATATTATATTAAAAATTAATTTTAAATTATTTAGACATAAATTTTCAAAATTTTAGAAGTTTTAAAAATAATAAAAAATAAATATTTGATTTGATATTTTATGGAAAAAAAATACTCCCTCCGTCCCAATATTCATTTTTCCATTTTGATTTTTTTTTTTTTTAAGTAAATGTACTATCTACCTAATATTACAAATACCTTGCATCTTCCAATATATTACACAAATACCGTTACCTTTATATCACACATTACTTTAATTATTCCTACTTTATTCTTACTATATCCCAATATAATATTAATATTTCTAAAATACCGTGTAAAAAACAAATAGATACATAATTATGTAACGAAAGAAATATATTTGATATAATATTTTAAAAAAAAATAAGTAATGCCAAATAAGTAAAAGTAAATTATATAAACATAAACGTTATGCTTGCTTGATCTGTTACAAATCTCTCTCCACTAACCTATTTTCCAAATAAGACACATCAAATCTAATACTCTCCACTAATTATAAATTAAGATTAAATAACTTGTTAATTTAATAAAAGTTAAAAAAATTATAAATTAAAAACTTTAAAATAAGATTAAAATGATACCTCAGCCTCTAAAAATCACATTTACATTATACATTGTATTTAACATTAAAAATATTATTCTATTATTATTATAAGACACTATGAAAGTATTTATACTATATTTTAATATAATACGACAAAGAATAAAAGTAAATGGGACCTTAGAGCCGAACAGAAATAGTATAATTTTTTTTTTCGAGAAAAAAAAAATGACAAAAGAAGTGAGAAAAAATGGACACAATAAATGGAAAAATGAAAAACTATTTAATCATATCACAGACATAATTTCAATTTACTTTTTACTATTTACAAACTAACCCAAAATATATCTAAACGAGGCGGTAAAAAATGGTATGTAACACAATATTAGTATTGTGGGTTTCAGCAGCAACTCCGGCTGTAAAAATACACACAAACGTTGCAAGAAATACACAATGCTGAGACACATAACAAGCCAAATACGAAACCGTGCCCCAAAATCAATGAAAAATTTTGAAGTAAAGAACAACTAGGATAGCAACAATAAGTGCAGCGATTACTGACCCGACAATCCATTTGTTCCTGCTCATCCTTCTCGACATCGAAGTCAGTACCCTTTTACTTTTGTCGATGGCGTTGTCCACATCAGAAAGCTGCAAGGAGAAAGAAAATGGTTTCATGAGTTACAATGGGAGTGAAGATACCGGGGCTGAATGAATACCTTCTTGTGAGAATGTAAGAGAGTTTCGCGCTGCTGGTGCAAATCTTCGAGGATTGATACGCCGAGCTCTTCCGTCTCTAGTGCAGCCCTTCGACTCTCTCTCAGTCTGTCAGTTGATTGATCCAGTCTCTCTGTGGACATGGCCAGTCGATCCCTTTGATTGGCAGAAGCCTGTCGATAATGTTAGGGAGAGTACTATTCTAAGAAACCCCACGGAAAGAGAAGTTGGGAATCAATGTGCATATAGTTCGATAAATGGAGATTCAAGAAATCGAGGTCGAAACTTGAGTATCGTGCTAAGATACCCAAAAATGGGAGGTAACAAAAAATACTACTATAACACAGATGTTGTATTTGAGATGTAGCTTTTTATATGTTAAGCCAAATTCAGAATTCCAGATCAAATATATATTTTTCATTTTTTGTACTCCCTCCGTCCACAAACGGAATGTCCAACAATTATTGTCCTATTTCTATTTTTATATACAAAATTTATTATTTTACCCTTACTTTATTTACTCTTTTCTTTTTTATATACGAAATAAGGACAAATTTGTTATTTTATAACAAAAACCCTAATGGCCCAAAAATGCATGTAAATATCAAATAGGACATTAGAAAATGAACGGAGGGAGTATTATACTAAAAGTCAATTTTACATTCAAAATATCACATCAACACCTCATTATATCACATCATACAACTATTCAAATTCAATTTTTTTATTATTCAAAGCCCAACTCAAAATCCAAAACCCCATAAAGAGTGCTACATATGCATATATAGATCGTATATTAGAGAAGCTAGAAGAATGAAGTGAATAATACATCACTCACCTTCCCCACTTAACTACGAACATCTAGTTTTTAGTTCAGCGCCGGATGGAAGTTTCAATTTTACTTTCTAACATGCCTCTTAGCTGTAAATCGGCATCCAATAATTTGCATCATTCATAGATGTATGTGTAATAACAATAAACAATTAAATATATGCTACAATGCTCATCAGGCAGACATATGCAGGCGTGAACATTCGTATTTCAGGGCTGAAAAAGAACATGCATGTATTCATGGTTCTATCCTCCTATCCACAGACAGATTAAAGTCTTTACTATGCATATGAAACATGTCACGTCTAATCCAAGCATACCTCATGCAGACCACCTGTCCCAGATTCTAAGTCTTCGGTTGTGTGGTTTGAATGAAGGGAAGTTAATTTCTTCACTTCTCTTTTCAACTTAGTAAGATCAGATTTATATTCCCTTAGCTTAGCAAGTAAAGTAGCTTTCAAGCTAGGTTGTAAGCTTCTAGCTTCAAGATCCATTTTCCGAATCTGGTATATAAAATCAAACATTCATTTCAGCTGCAAAATTAGAATTATCTGTGCAGTGCCTGAAGAAGGATCGAGCATTACCAAAACATCAGCTTCATCGAGTCCTGCTTGTAATTCTAAAACCTCTTGTTTCTTTTTCTCTACAGGCAATAAGAAAGTATGAACATTTGCCCCAACCACAACAATACGACTAAACACAAGAAATTTGTATATACAAAATGGCCCATAGATATCTTTTAACATGTCTACCGATACAAAATAAAGCTGCCAAATTTCAGATTTCTAAATATCACTTGGAAGAAACCATAACATAGCACATATGACATATCCTTTACAAGAAATTACAAAATTTGGACTGCTGCTAACAGAAGGCTTTAATTTACTTCGATCTACTATGGCTCTTTTAGATCAAGGTACAAATTAAATATTTATGTTGTAATGAGGCGTAGGAACACAAAAACTGTTGGATTTAGGCGAAGAAATCTATTTCATTCGAAGCACAATTCCTGAACAGGCAATACGTAGATTTTTAACAAATTTCCCCCCGGACAAAGCAACTTAAACGCTTAACTCGTCCATTATAGTCATCGGTACCAATAACAAACAATTAACTTATAACAAATTCCAACGGGTTTCTTCCAAGAAGAATCGAATGATTAGGGAGATTCAAATCCCTATTTTTAGCAGAGGAAAGGAAAAAAAAAAAAAAAAAAAAACGAACTAATCAGTTCATTCCACCACGCAATTGAATCCAACGCGTATCAAATTAAGCTCTGAATGGATGAAATAAATTCAGCTGTGAGTACCTCCATCCAAAAGAGAAGCAGCAGAATTGCATTTTCTCGACAAATTCGCCGATAACTCACAGTACTGCCTTTCATATCCTTCATAAACCTGACTCATCTTCCTCAACCCGCTGCGTTGGATTCACAAACCAGATGCATAAACCTCAGTAAAATAACAACCAAAACAGACAATTTTACTCTCGATTGAGCTTCGATTACTGCCGACAAACATAAGAAACACTTGCACCAAGCCAAAAGACATGCGTACTTACATGTAGGAGAACCTGGATTAAGCGATTTCACGCGGATCAGAGGAAGCAAGGTATAGAGAGAGAAAGTATATTCGACCTGCTTTCCGATTGAAGTTTCAACGCAAGGAAATGCAATAGAGCGGAGGCTTTTTTATTTTCCACATCGATCCCAAAAAACTATTTTATTTTCGGTTTGGCCCGTGAACTTCAACTAATATCAAATCACACTTAAGAGTTGGAATATGGCTATAAAATAATAAATCATTTTTAATATTTGGAAAATTATTATAGATATTACGTCTACGCTAAAATGTGAATGCTAAATAAAAAAAAAATGAATATACATCTTTGTTTGACCGACTCAATATGTATAAAAATGTATGTAAGGGCATTACTGATAATACATTCGTTTCAGTCAAATTATTTACAAATTTATGTTTAATTTGTATCCCTCATTTCTTGCACTTTATATATATATATATATATATATATACACGCGTGTATATATATATTATAGAGCTGGCAAAAATTTATCCGACACGATAATTTGATACGAACTCGATATGAAATAATTGGGTTTGAGTCAAAATTTTCAATTCGATTATGTATACGGGTTGACATGAACCCGACACGATAATAAACTGATCGGGTTAGGCTTTAGGCTCTCAACTCGAACCCGACATGAAAACCCGATTATAATATACTAATATTGATTAATATATTTATTATATTATTTAAAATAATTATAATTTAAAAATTTGCTCATAAATTAATTTAAACTAACTTCAATTTTAAATAATTTAACATAATTCATTGTACATACTACGTTAAAATCAATAAAAACCAACATAAAACAAAATATGACAAAATATAATTTAATTTGAATAAAAAAAATTAAATTAATTATGTATTCGAATCAACACGAATCCGACACCAGACTCGTCTTTGGGGCTGGGCCATGAGGCCGACCGCCCAAGCCCAGTCCAGGTTGGGGCCTCAAATTCTTAGATTATATATATATATAAAAGGGTATTATATATATACATAAGAGTAATAATAATATACTACAAGCTGTCTCCAGTCATTTTAATAGCAATGCGAGTATGCGACTATACCACTTTCAGTAATGATTCATTTCAATTTACCGTTAAATATTAAATTTTGTATATGTATACTTATACGGACGATTTTCTTTTTCTTACAATTTTTTCCACCAATATTTTTTTTTCTCTGCAATTTTTTTCCCACGGCCACATCCAAATTCTTCGAGTTAAATTGGAAAAAAAATACAAAACTGTGCAATTGAAAAATTGCGACATGTAGTTAGGATTTCAATGGATTTTTTAAATTAAATTTATTTGCTTAATCTTACAATATTTTAATTGAATTGATTTGTTCAGTTTTAGATTTTTTTCAGTGTTATAAGTTAACTTAATTGTTTGATTATATATATATATATATAAAGATAGATAATAGATGCAATTTTTATTTGAAAAATATTTGCAATTAATTTTTTTAATTGATTTTTTTTTTATGTGTGTTATAGATTAGCGTTTTTTTTTTCTTTTATATTCTTTACCGATAAAACAAAAAACTGAACAAGAATAATGAAACAATTGTGAATAAAATACAGGTGCTTTTGTTTCAATTCCTTAAATATATTTTGTTATTGTTTGATTTATTTCTATAGCAATGTTGCCAAGAAAATATCTTTCTGATAGTGAAAAAAAAAAAAACAAACGGATTGAGCAATTGGTAGAATCGCAAAAATGATCTCTTGATAAAAAATTTTCTAGAAATATAGGTTCAATGATGATTTGAATGCGGATGATGTTGATCAGTTGAAATCCAATGATGAATTAAATATTGAAAAGAAAAATAATATTGACGAATTTAATGATAATAATTTGGATGAACATGATAATGATGTAAATATAGTTGATGATGATATTTTAGATAAAAGTTTATGTATTTATGACTCGAGGTATTAGAATAAACTTGATAATAAAAAAATATTTTAATTGAAAATGGATCGAGAAAAGACTTAAATTTTATTTTTCCCTTTGATAGTATTTCTTGACATTTTTCAAATTTTTATTACACTAGAAAATTAAAAAATGATGAGATTTTAGATCGAAAATTGTTAGTTTATTCTAAATATGAAGATAAAGTAAATTGCTTTTGTTGCAAGTTATTTAAATCCAATAATAATAAAAATTATTTAGCATGTGATAAATTAAATGACTTTGGAAACATCATAGGGATAGACTTAGAACACATGAGAATAGTTTTGAACATATTAGTAATATGAATACTTGGAATGAAGTTAAAATAATATTTGCAAATAATCAAACAATTGATAAAGATTTGCAACAAGAAATTGGGAAAGAAAAAAAACGTTGGAGACAAGTGTTGATAAGAATTATTTATGTTGTCAAATGTCTTGCTAAAAATTATTTAGCTTTTCGATGATCAAATGCAAAACTTTATCAAAATAGCAATGACAATTTTTTAGAATTGATTGAAATGATTGCTGAATTTGATTTAGTAATGCAAGATCACGTTAGATGAATTCAAGATCAAGACATTCATTATCATTATCTCGGTTCTAAAATGCAAAATGAGTTAATTTTATTATTGGATATTGGTATTACAAATACAATTCTAAAAACTATTAAAGAATCAAAATATTTTTTTATTATTCTTTATTGTACTCCAAAGGTGAGTCGTCAGGACCAAATGACTTTGATTATACATTGTGTAAATATGTCAAATAGTATAAGAAAAATTGAAGAATATTTTTTAGAGTTCTTAAAAGTAGATGATACAAGTGAGTTAGAGCTTTTTAATGAATTAGTAAATACGCTTAGATCTCTTGATTTTGATATTGCTAATATTAGACGCCAAAGTTATAATAATGGTTTTACTGTGAAAGGTAAGCACCAAGGTAGTCAAATACGATTACTTAATATTGATCATAAGGCTTTGTATATGTCATGTGCTTGTCATAGTCTAAATCTTACTCTTTGCCATACGGCAAACTCTTGTATGAAAGCTATATCATTTTTTGGAGTTATACAACACATATATATACTATTTTCCAGTTCTACAAAAAGATGGAAATTTTTGCTTAACAATATATATGATTTAACATTAAAATCCTTGTCAAATACTCAATGGGAAAGTAGAATTAAAAGTGTTAAAGCTATTAAATTTCAAACTCCTCAAATTCGATTAGCTTTAATGGATTATATAATTCCTGTAGTGATGCAAAGTCAGAAACCAAAGCTAAAAGTTTATTAAATGCTCTCAAGTCCTATGATTTTCCACTTGGTGTGGTAATTTGGTATGATATTTAACTGTAATTAATATTGTAAATAAAACATTGCAATCTAAATCATTTTGATACGACCACACTTACACTATACTACTAACACCAATTTACATATACGTAAACGATAAACATGCTATAATCCTTAATTACTTACATCTATAACAACATGTTCACCTGCTATAAATTTTTTTTTCTTTCAGCAAAACATAACATAACTCAATAGTAACCTATTAACATTCATCAAAAGAATCTCAAACCATATCAAAACTACACAATCGACATACTATTTATAACAATACCATACAACTTCTAAACATACGTAATATAGCACAACGGAAGCAAAACAAGCCACGGTCTTGCCCGCAGGTCGTCATTTATGTACACGGTAACTCAAAATGCCTGTAAAAGTGCCATGGCTACTCCAGTCTGTCCACCAAGTCATATATCATCAGGATTATCTACAATGCATAAACTGAGTGAGATTTATAAATCTCCGTAAGTAGAAATTATGCATGATGTGAAGTTTATCTCAAAATTCTCACTATGCAGAATATGCTCTCGTTTGAAATCACCAATTTATTTATAAAATATTCTCCAGGGCCCCTAGACACACTGTTATACACCGGAAGAGCTCAATATCCATATATTCAAATCAAACGGTGGCCTACACCAGGTAGCCTACACCGGGTTTCCTCGTAAGGTTTCCCCGGGTCGCTTCTTCCCAGGTTGCCTCTTCTGAATGCATTGTTTAAGCATTGTATGTAAAGTCACAATAGACGGTGGCCTATGCTAGGTAGCCTACACCAGGTTTCCCCAGGTCGCCTCTCCCGCCCTCGGTGTATAATAAACGGTCTAATATAGTAAAACCATCTTATTTCATTTCAATGCATGATATGCATGCGTAAAGAAAATGCAATGCAACATATTTCACACTATACATATATTATTGAACTCACTGGTTCAAACTACATCAATTTTGGAGCTCACAGACTCCTTCATCATCAAATATAAGCTCAACCATATCACATACAGAGCTCACAAGCTGAAACCAATTTATATACGGAGCTCGCAGGCTCAAACCATATAATTACATAATATTAATCACATAGTACAATTTTCTGATATTCATATATTATCAATCAAACATAAATAACTCACAAAATAATATATTTATGCATTGTAGTTGCAAATGGACTTCTACTTACCCAAAATTCTCCAAAAACGTCAATAACCCTAACTCTTAAAGCCTTTTTCCTGATTCCAGTATCGTATCTAAAAATAATTAATTACAAATATTACCTCAATTTACTAAATAATTATTTCTACTCAAAACTTCATCTACTTAATAAAACAGCAATAATTCATGAACACAGAAAAATACATGAACTAGACTTTTAACAAATTCGGCGTAATTTTTTTTTTTTTTTCATCTTCTTCGCGTGGCCTTCTGCCTTTCTCCTTATCTTGTGCAATTCACAAGGGAAAGGATTTGATTGAGGTGGGGTGGGGATCATTACCCCGCCCCACCGCCTTTCTTTTTATTATTATTATTTTATTATTATTATTATTATTATTATTATTATTATTATTATTATTTTCATAATTATTATTTTATTTATTTTACTTTTTATTTAACTACTAAAATAAATTTTCAAGTGATCTATATTTACTTTACACCATTAATATCCAAATAATTTACCCAACATATTTGTATCCTACTAGAATCTCATATAAATTATGATAATATTTTCTTATTAATAAACGGGTAAGGCATATACCAAATTATAAACAATTTAACATATAAGTAATTTACCAGCACCTAA